ACAATTAAGGATAAGTAAGATCCTGCATATCCTACAATCTTCAGCATTTAGTACTACCTCATGCTACTTACCTGAACTGCCTACCTCAAGCCTCTTGTATTGTTTTGCTATTTAAGTAGATACTTTGGTATCTCATTTCATGTCACGATGCTGTAAATATTGTCCCAGCATTACAGACTGCAAATTACCAAAATATTCTATTTCACATAATTAAATTAATGTAATTTCAGTAATTACATGAAATGGCAACAATGGCTTCCACAACTGGCCATCAATGGATGACTTTATGTTGTAGCCTTATGTAACTGCACATAGCATTTATTTATTTGATTTATAGTGTTCAGCAAGTAAAACCCCGATCTTGTGCAGAAAATAATGCTCCATTTCATGTAAATGCTTTTGTTCATTAAAATAGATCTTGAAATTAGATATGGGATTTTAGAGTTTTCAGTTTCACACTGCATTTCACAAATTTTAACAGGCATAGCTGAACAGACAGCTACAGTTCTAATTTTAAACACTGCTGTTCTTGTAAGGTAGCAGCATATTTCTGTGACCTTGGATGGACTTGCTTTCACACTCAGCCAGGTGTAACCAGCCTTTAACTTAATTTTCTTTAATTTGTAAATTAAAACTAGAGGTTAAATCAAACCAATGTGCACTTCTTTTCTAAAAATTCTTGAAGTCAGCAATTCAAAACTTTCTTTCTGATAAGTCAGTAAGATAACAATATAGGTAAGGCAGATCAGATACAAATAGAAAAAGAAACAACAGGAACGTGTAAAGAAATTAAGACTAAATTAAAAAAAAAAAAAAAGACATATTTCAAAGGCATAATACACACAAGAGATTCATATTGTCCCTTGCCCCTCCCGTATTCTCCCCATACACACTTGTGTTTCCCAAACACACCTTCTTCCGCTGTGCAGCCTGATTCTCTGTATGCCTTTTACACAGGATTCCTCTCATATAAACTCTATACTGGATATGGTAGCAAAACTACAATTATATATTGCATTTTGTTGTTGAGGTTTTTGTGTGTGTTTTTTTTTCCAGACATCAGCTCCAACCTGCCTGGGCTTGTTCGCTGAAACACAGCTAAACTGCCCCCAGGGACAACTCAAGTCTAAAAGTATCTCAGCTACTTTCTCTCAGCCTGAGCTCACAAACTCTCACAGGTGAAGCTCCTTGTGATGCTCACGCTTCTACACTTCCACGTTGTACTCCTAATACTGGCTGTGTTTAAGCAATAGTAAAGGGAGGACAGAGCAGCGTGCTCCCCACTGGCCTCCCACATCAGGCTGACCCCACAAGCAGCCCCTGGGTGATGGCTGGGTCATCCCCCCACATCCCCTGCTTTGAGGACTGATTCATGCCAGCCTCACACAAATGTCCAGACTGCCACCTTCCACACAACCCTCAGTGCTGGAGGACCCACACAAGACCCAGTGCAGACATACGCAGCCACCCACAAAATCATCTGCTGCACAGTGCAAAAACGACCCATTTCACATGCAAGGTACATCTCTGTTCCACCAGCTCTGGGCACAGGGTTCCCCCCCGGCCCACGCTCTCCTGGCACCAGCGCTGGCCAGCAGCACCGCGCTCACCACCTGCTGCCACGGGCTGCCTCTTCCAGTTCCTTGCACACAGGCTCTCCCTACCTTCCCAACGAGGTAACATGCAAATTCACAGTTCTCCCTCCTCAGTTTGCTAGCGTCCGGGCTTTTTCACTTATTAAAAACATCTCTAACCAGAAAAGCATCAGCACAGGTCCAGTATTAAAATCCCTTTTACCCTTTTGCCTGCTCTGTACCCCAAATTCCCTCCCTCCACACCCTGCCCTTCCCTCCCCAGATCAAACTGAAGGTCAAGCAACACGTTCCTCTCTAAAAGGAAAGATTAAGCAAAACCTTCTCTTCAACGTGCAGGCTACACTGTTTGGGAGTATGTGGAATTGGAGGAGAAAAACAGAATCAGCCATTGAAGTAATGGCATTTCAGAAATGCTCTGAACACTGTCACATTTCCAGAAGGAAACTGACCAAGGCAGGAGATTTCAGGCTGCATTAGAAAAGGCTGCACGTAGAGGAGCCTGCAGGTACTGATGCACACACCCACCCACCCACCCACGCTTTTGGCCCCATTCTCAGCAGACACGGGGCTACCGGCACCCCGCAATGTCCAAGCGCGGGACAGAGCCCTCCCTGCCCGGGCAGGCACCGGGTCACGGCTGGAGCTCCCAGCGCAACCGGC